CAGGACCCTGAGATCATGACCTGAGCTGAAGGCAGATGCTCAACGAACTGAGCCACCCAGGCGCCCAGATTTTCTCATTTTTTTAAAAAAAATTTTACTGTTAGGTTTTACTTTTATCTATGAGATTCATTTTGAATAAAATTTTTATAAGGTGTTGAGGTATAGTTCGAGGTTCACCTTTTCTTTTCTCTTCTTTTCTTTTTGCATGTGGAGATCCAATTGTGAAAATCCCCTTTATTAAAAGGGTATGGAATTGAATGCTTTCTCCATTGAATTGGTTTTGCACCCGATCACAAATCATTTGACCATATTTATATGAGTGTTTCTGAACTGCCTCCTGTTCCATTGATGTGTGTATGTTTTTTTGCCAATACCACACTGTCTTTGATGACTGTTCCTTTATACAGTAATTCTTGACTTAGAGTTGTGTGCAACTTCCAACTTTGACCTGACAATTCTGGCCTCCCCTTTTACTCGATCTATCTATCCTTTTGTTTTATATCAATGTGGACTCGCAGATTGTTATTTTATTGCTGTCATTTAAGTTTTTGCTTATGTTGTAGATTTGGCCAGGGGGAGACATATCCCATCATTCTTTGAACACTTCTTACCTTCTGGCATAACAAGATGTTCTAGGGTCCTCTTGTCCATTTCCTGTCCTAGTCCTGGAATCAACCATTTCTCCAAGGAGACCTAGTTTCTTTTATAAGAGAATGGTATTTAGAATCAAGATCTGGGAGCTAGATGTGCACATTATTGCTGGGTTGCAGCAAGACCCTCTCAGTGGACATTGAAAACTGTGAGTTTGTACTGTTAACATCCAATCCTGTCCAGCACTACAGAATTCTTTCTAACCCCCCCTTTATTTGTAACTCTTTCACTCAGCATAATTACTTTGAGATTCATTCGTATGTTTAAATAGTTCATTTTTTTTTTTTTGAGAGAAAAGTTGCCAAGAAAAATTACTCCATTGAGTGGTATGTCACAATTTTAGGAAATTGCTAGACTTTCCCCCCCAAAGCGGTGGTACCATTTTACATTCCAACCAGCAGTGCACTAGAGTTCTAGTTCCTCCACATTATTGCCAAACCTTGATATTGTCTGTCTTCTTAATTTATACTCTTAATAGGTTTGTTTTGAAATCTTAGATGTTTTTAATTTGCCTTTCTAGATTGACTAATTTGCATAGTTTTCTATTCCATGTACTTATTTGCTGTTCTTATGCCTTCTTTGGAGGCATGTTTATTCAAATTTTTTGCCCAATTTTTTTTTTTTAACAGTATCATTATTTCTTAATGTTGAGTTTTGAGGGTTCTTTATAGATTCTGGCTTTATCAGATATGTGATTTGTAATTTCTCAGTCTTTGGCTTGGCTTTTTGTTTCCTTAAAAGGGTCGTTTGAAGAGCGGAAGTTCTTACTTTGGATGAAGTCCAGTTTGTGGATTTTTTTCTTTTATGGATTGTGCTTTTGGTGTTTTATGTAAGATCTTTTTCCACCTAAGTTCAAAAAGGTCTTTTTAAAACTTTATGCATTTATTTATTATTTTTTTTAAAGATTTTATTTATTTGACAGAGTGAACAAGCAGGGAGAGGGAGAAGCAGGCTCCCCAAAGGTCAGGGAGCCCGATGCGGGGCTCGTTCCCAGGAGCCTGAGATCATGACCCAAGCCAAAGGCAGATGCTTAACCGACTGAGCCACCCAGGTGCCCCAAAAAGGTCTTTTTTGTTTTTTTAATTTATTTATTTATATTAGAGAGCACATGTGCGTGAGCAGGGGGAGTGGCAGAGGAGAGAGAGAATCTCAGGCTCCCCTGCTGAGTGAGGAGCCCCACACAGGGCTTGATCTCACGACCCTAAGATCATGACCTGAGTGGAAATCCGGAGTCAGATGCTTAACCAATGAGCTCCTCAGGTGCCCCAAAAAAGGTTTTTTCATGTTTTCCTCTAGCAGTTTCTTAACTTCTGGTTTTACATTTAGTTCTATCATCAGTTTTGAGTTAATTTTTATATACTTGTATATGTTAAATATGGACCCATGTTAACTTTTTTAAATATGAGTGTCCATTTGTTCCAGCATCATTTGTTAAAAAGATTCTTTTTCTCCATTGAATTTTGCCTTTGCGCCTTTGTGGATAATCAGTTGATGCTGTATGTGTGGTTCTGTTTTTGGACTCCATTATATTAATTTATTTCCCTGTATGCCAGTACAACACTGTCTTGATTACTGAATCTTTATAACTAGTTTTGATTCAGGTAGATCTTCCAGTTTTGTTCCTTTTCAAAGTTATTTTGGCTGTTTAGGTACTACTTTGTGCTCCTGTATGACTTTCAGAATGTTTTTCAGATCCCTAAAGGGAATAGGGATATGAAAGGGATATTCTTTAGTTTTGATTTTTATTAACTTTTATTAACTTTATTAACTCCTGAAAGAGGTATTCTTTAATTTTGATTTTTATTAACTATTTTGGTTTTTACTTTTCCTTTTTTTACTACTGATCTTGTTTCCTGCAACTTCGTTAAACTCATTTGTTCTAGTAACTTTTTGTAGATTTTCTACACAGATGATCATGTTGTCTGTGAATAAGACATTTTTAATTCTGCCTTTTCAATGTGTATTCCCTTTATTTCTGTTTTGACTTTTGATTTTTTTTTTAAGATTTATTTATTTATTTATTTGACAGAGAGAGAGAGACAGCGAGAGAGGGAACACAAGCAGGGGGAGTGGGAGAGGGAGAAGCAGGCTCTCCGCTGAGCAGGGAGCCCAATGCGGGGCTCCATCCCAGGACCCTGGGATCATGACCTGAGCTGGAAGACAGACGCTTAACGACTGAGCCACCCAGGCACCCCATTGACTTTTGAGTTTTAATTTGAAATACAGCAAGGTTGTATATCGTGTGGGGTCCTCCCCACATACATTTGTTGATTTTATTTTATTTTTACATTATGTGTAGCAGTAACATTTTTCTGAAAGTCAGAATTATTTCCTATTCCTGTCTCTCCATCGTTTACACCCCATTCCCACCTTGCCAGATTCATCGTGTTCACACTGTGGGTCTTTCCCTTCCACCATCCCATTATTTTTCCTTAAAGTAACTGCCCCCTAGATTTTGCCAAAAATCTCTTTCTTTGTAAAACCTAGAACACATTGATAGATATGGCGGTTTCATAGAAGCAGGAATTCTTAAACCAGGCTTTATGAGCCTTTGGCTCAGATCATGATCCCAGGGTCCTGGGATCGAGCCCCGCGTCAGGCTCCCTGCTCAGCTGAGAGTCTGCTTCTCCCTCTGCCTCTGCCTCTCCCCTTCTGCCTGCTCAGGAGCACATGCGGGCATGCTCTCTCTCACACACGCGCGCTCTTGCTCGCTCTCTTTCAAATAAATAAAATCTTAAAAAAAGGAAAAAGAAAAACCAAAGGTAAGAAAGAATACCTTTGGAAGTTTGGAATGAGTGAGTTTGGGCCTAACCAGTGTAAAAGGCGTGTTAGTGAGCCTCTTATGTCTTGAATCCTTTGTACCTTTTGAAGATAACATTTAAATGTCTCTGATGTAGTATATGACTGTTGTTTGTGGTTAATCCAGTTATACATGTCAACTCAACACATGCCACTTGTAAACCTTGGCCTACTATTTTGTATCATAGATTTTTAAGAATTTGAATGCATTTAAGAAGTTTGCTTTCAGGGGCTCCTGGGTGGCTCAGTCAGTTAAACGCCTGCCTTCAGCTCAGGTCATGATCCCGGGGTCCTGGGATCGAACCTCAGAACCTCACGTCGGGCTGTCTGCCCAGCAGGGAGCCTGCTTCTCCAACTCCGCCTGCTGCTCCCCCCGCTTGTGCACGCTCTCTCTCTCATAAATAAAATCTTTAAAAATAAAAGTTTGCTTTAAGATTATTTTTAATGGTTATTCTTTTTTTTTTGTAATTTTTTTTTTAAGGATTTTATTTATTTATTTGACAGAGAGAGACATAGCGAGAGAGGGGAACACAAGCAGAGGGAGTGGGAGAGGGAGTGAGCAGGGAGCCCAATATGGGGCTCGATCCCAGGACCCTGGGATCATGACCTGAGCCGAAGGCAGACACTTAACGACTGAGCCACCCAGGCGCCCCAGTGGTTATTCTTTAATAAAGTTGTTAAAAGAATCTTTGGATTCCTGTTGTCAAGTCCCTAAAAAGTTATTCTGGCAGAGAAGGGTAAAGGTATTCAAAGCACACATGAAGTATACATATTTTAAGAGAATCTTTGAAGCTTCCCTTTTGGATGTCCCATGTCTGAAAGCAGAGCATCCTAGTAAATAGTGCTTAAACGTACTGTAGCCATTCTGCCTGAGTTCAGTCCTGACGCTTCCTCGTTCTAGTAAATGACCTGTTTCGTTTCCTCACCTAGCAAATGAGAATAATAAACCTGTCTGTTAATAGTAAAGGGCTTGGAAGTAGATACATTTTGGCAGACTCCAAGGCCACCCTCACCCTATGATGGTAATTGTGCAGGTTCCACTGGGGCAGATTTTAGTAAAAGGTGGGTAATGTCACCATATTGTGAGGAATAAAAGACCAGAATGGTGCTGTTACTCATTGCTTATTATGTCTGTTAAATTATAATAAGAATGTTCTTTTTTATTTCTCCCAAGCCAAACTAGCAAGACGCAGTCAAGAACGAGACAATCTTGGCATGCTGGTCTGGTCACCTAATCAGAATCTATCAGAAGCAAAACGTAAGTTTTAAAGGACTTTTATTTCCCCCCTTTCTTATTTAATGCAAAGTTTTAAAGTCACTTTTGTAGCTAAAAGTCCCTATACACGTTACATTTTTTTTCAAATTAAATGTGCATTTCTTTACTGTGGCCTGTCATAAGGACTTAAAGATTCTTAACCAGTGGTTTCATAATCTACTTTTTTCAAAATGCTGGAGTTACTAGGAGGAAAAGCTTAGAGTGGAAGAAAATTATAATGCAGTGTAAAGTTCCATCAGCTGGGAATTGATAGATTTATAAATTTCTAATTGAAGGGTTACAAAGGGCAAATGTATGTTATTGGAAACAGGCTTTGTTTATACTGTAAGGCTTCAGCCTAGCTAGAAGGAGAACTGTTGAATTGATTCTGTTTTATGAGTTTAAAGTTGTATTAGGATGAATACTCTGAGCTACTTTGAATCTTATTTTGAGGGGATAGGGGTCCTTTAGCTATTAGTAATATTACTTGTATATTCAGAGTTCACTTTTTCAGCTTTTATATTCGCTCTGCTCAGATGATACCAGCAAAATTAATTTTAGTCTTTGGCATTTTCAGAGTTTTTATTTTCTTCATAACTTAAGAAAAACTAAATCTCCTTTTGGAGAATTTTTCAGTGGGGGTTCATGGATGGAATTTATGGGGATTTGTGAACTTAGAAATCACATGCAAAGTTTTTTTTGGTGTATGTGTTTGTTTTTCTGGATTTTCAAAGGGGTCTTTGACAAAAATAGGTTAAGAATCAATGCTCTAAAAAAGGGTAGGTCTTGGAAAGCCACCAGTGGTAAATGTTATCAGGAAACTGTTTGTGAGTAAAGGCTCAGATTTTTAGGCTTTGATCAGGATTTCCCAATGTGTGTTTTCATGAGAGGATACATATTAAATATTCTCCTCTTGTATATTCAGTATCCATGTTAGCACATTTAAGGTGCAAAGAGCTCATATGGTAAAGAAACAGGTTTAATTTTGATCAGGAAAGATTCTTTTTTTGTACAGTCTCCTCCATGGAACACGGGAAATTCATCTACTCTTAATGCTGAATTTAGCAGTAATAAAATAATCTCAGTCTAATCTGATTTTAAGAGTATCTTAATTTTGCCTCTATCAGGCTGCTGCTTAATGAGTTTATAATGAAGAACAGAATAGCAAAAGGAAGTGTATTGGCATTTCTGATGTCTTCACTATGCTGGGAGAGACCTTTTAAGTATTTCTGGCGTGTTTATTTCCCTTTGAGTACTTGCATTAACTTACAAAAGCAATCTATTCCTTTTTTGAACATACTCTTTTTAACAGAAAGCTGAAAATCTGCCTCCCTGTAATTTTTAAAGCTTTACTTTCCTGAACTCTGCTAAATAGGTTTGCTTTCTGACAAGTCTTGCAGATGTTCAGGCTTCCCTCAGTCCAAGTTAAACCTGCCTGGTTGTTTCAGGTGTTTTTCAGATGGTTTGGTTTTTGGATCTCTCTCTTGCACTACCGGTATGTTCCAGTTGGGTCAGACTGTCCATATGAAATGATGGTGCCCAGAACCGAATATGCAGAATCATGAGCACTCATTGAATCTTTATGCCAAGCCCTGCACTAAAATGCATTCACTCTTCACAGTCAGCCAAGAGGAGATTTTTGTCCCCATTTTACAGATGGCATTCCACAGTTCAAAGGTTTGTGCAACTGACACAGATAATAAGTGGCGAAGCCAGTAGCAATGTCCAGGTTTGCTGATTTCACCCTGATTCATGCTCTGAGTGCCTCTCTTTGGGAGAACTCATTAGCTGTCAGTGTTCTGTATTTCTGCTGTGATCTTCTCTTCCTACAGCTCACAGTCGATCAGTGCCCTTCGTGATTGTATTACCTGTTGACATCTGTGGAGTCAATTTAATTTTGATATTCTCTTATTTTTCCTAGACCTAGAAGAAAAGAGCAGAATATGAGAAGTTAGTTGATTTTTAAACAATGGCATTGCCTAAAATAAACTTGCAGTTTTAATGTTAGCCTTTAAAACTTGAGACTTTTAAAACCAATATGGAAGTAACATTGCTATATTGTTGAGAGTTCAGAAGATACAGGAACTTACAAAGAAGGAACAGCTCACACATTATTCCATTACCCAGAGATAACTGTTGTAAACGTTTTGGGATTTTTCCCTGTCCTCTTTTTTTCCTCTTGTGTGCATATTTATATAAGTGAGATGATGTAGGTGTGTATATGTGTGTGTATTGTTTTCCTGATACTGACCTAAGCATTTCCCACATTGTTAAATAACCATGTACATCATATGGGTGGATCCATGTGTTTATTAACCTTCTTCTATTGAAAATTTATGTTGTTTCTGCTTGTTGGCTGTTGTAAAAGAAGCTATAGTGAAAAACTGAATCCTAGAGCTTTGTCCTCTTTTGTTTTTTGTTTTTATTGTGTTTTTAGTCTTAAGTAGAGCTCTAGGAATGGAGTGTGGATTATTGGGAACTTGCTCAACTGCTCAGGGGTAAGGACGTAAACATAATGCAGTGTCCTGGCATGAGTTAGGTTCCGCTTAGTAGGCTTCCGTTTATGGAGCTTTGTAAATCACACAGTTCGTGACTAGTAGTCTAATCACAGTTAGGCATTACAGTGTGATTATAGTATGAATGCGGACAGGGGTACACAATTTTTTCCGTTTGCACACCTACCATTTCCCCCTCAACTCCCTTGCCCACGGTATATGGGCAAAAAAGAAACCTTTTCTTCTTGCCGTTCTTTATTTTCAAAGAATGTGTAAGTCTTGGTTGTCACCGTACATCTGTCACCAATCAACACCATGGCAGTACCACGGACTCTGTTCCCTGCGCCGTACCTTTCACTCCCCACTACTTACTCATTCCGTAACTGGATATTTGAAGTCTTTCAGCTCTTCTTTCTTTTTTAAACTTAATTATTTTTTTAAGTTTTTATTTATTTTTTATTATTTTTATTTTTTTTTAAAGATTTTATTTATTTATTAGAGAGCGAGCGAGAGAGAAACAGCATGAGAGAGGAGAGGGTCAGAGGGAGAAGCAGACTCCCCGCCGAGCAGGGAGCCTGATGCGGGACTCGATCCAGGGACTCCAGGATCATGACCTGAGCCGAAG